CTGCTGTTGGTGGTGGTTAAATTATTGTTGTTGGTAGTGGTGGTTAAATTATTGTTGTTGCTGCTGCTGCTGCTGCTGCTGCTGTTCTCAAAGATGGCACATACCAATTGCCAATGATGATCTTACTGATAGACTCTGCTAAGACTGGTTGGCTGGAAGATCTAATGAAATTTACAAGTGCTGTGCCTGCGCCCTATACATTGCCTCTCCGCACACTAGCCCTGCCCACCTGCTTCTGCCCAGCCATTGCTTGGGCTCCCACAGTTTCCCAGGAGGCCAGCTGGGCAAGGGCTCCATGTAGCATTTCTCATAACCTTTTAAGTTCTACCACACCAATTACTCCCACTGAAATCATGTGGAGGAGACACACTAGGGAAATGCATTGGAGAAATGCCCAAGAACCAAGAAAAGAACTCTCCAGTGCACCAAGGTGGAAGACTGAGGGACCTAGATCTAGGGAGCCAAAATGACACATGGAGAGAGGACTGACAATAATATCAGAATGAGGCCCAGTTTGTCACCTGGACTACACTAATCCAGTCATTTACTCAGATAAGCCTGTCCTATTATGGGGACTAACTAGTAGCAAATTTATAGAGTCACATGAGAATTAAAAGCCTGAACCTGCGAAGGGTTTGAAACAATCCTGGTTGTTCCCCAGGCTGCTGCTGGAGATGGGAACAGCACAAACTACAGAGTTGAGAGCAGAGGCTAGTCCTCTAGGCTTCCAGCCAGATCAGTCTTGATGCCCCCCCCCATAATGTTGCACCAACACCTCACTTCATCCCGAAGCTACTCCTCACAGACAGCCCCCATTCTCCAAAGCCCTGTTGGTATGCCCACTCTGTGAGCTTTCCCCAAGCCCTAGCTGCAAGCATCCGAGGAAGACAGGCCACCACCTTTCTGTCCTTCCTTACCAACTGGCCCATCTGTTAAAGTAGGCTTACTCCTTCTGGCTCCTTCTGGCAAACTCAACTGCTGTCCCAGGTACACCCAGGAAAACCCAGTACCTTAGGTCTCTGTGCATTCAAGGCCAACCGGGTCTACGTAAAAATCCCAGGTCAGCCAGGACTACACAGTGAGACCCTGTCTAAAAAACAAACAAAAAACAAAACATTACATCATATAGCTTTACACCAAAGTTGGTAACAAAATAAACCACATCTTCGACTGCAAGCTAAGCAGACTTCTTTCTGATTGAATCAAGCGGCTGAGCCTAAATGATCCTGGCAATAACTAGTGCATTCACTCTCCTAGTTGGGGGGGGGAGGCAGCAATTTGTCGTGTGATTCATGTCCACCCTCTCACCTGGTGTTTTATAAATGCATTGTCGTAACTGTCTTAAGTATCTGTGCCTGGGAGGGTGCCTTCCTCTGTTTTGTAAAATGCCAAGCAATACCACTGTGATATATAAATAATGATAATTAGAAGACAGCCTCAAATAATTTGACATGTAGATTGAAGGGAAAAGTGGTACTTTTTCTTTTCTTTAATACCCTAGAATTTGGATCAGAAATGGCATTCAAGAAAAAAGCGTATTGGTTCTTGTCAGACATGGATGGTTCAAACACCCTTGTGCCTGAGGTCAGACATCATAAGAGGGAAGCCAGGCTGGGAATATGTAGGGCATCAAGACTGTGTTAAGGCCATAAAGACTCTCCCATGGCTTCATGGCTGTCGAAGATGATGAGTCTAGGAGCTAAAGACTCTTACAGTTACAAGGTCTTCCATTGTTCTGGTTCTCGGTGGCAAATAGGAGATCATCAAGTACTTGCTTGGTAGAAAGAGCATAGGACCACAAATCCCAAAGACAGGGGGACTGTGGACAACTGTGCAAGCCATCACTGTCACAGAGCACACCCTTAGTATCACAGTTAGACGCACTCCTTCCAGGGCCCTGTGTTATTCTAATGCAGTTCTGATACTGCCTCCCCTCACGATGTCCACTTCCTGCTTCTTTTGGGAGAACTCCTGATCACCTGGCTGAGCAATCTCCAGTCCAGCCTACTACCCAAGCTCTTCCAGTTGCCTCGCCAATGAGGTGTCTCCTTCAGACCCTAGGCAGCTCCTTAGTATCGGTTGATGAAAAAGTCAGACTCTAACTGGACCTCTGAGCTACTGTGAGGTGTGAGTCATGGGCAGTCAGCTCAAACAAGTATAAGTAACAAGATAAGTATATATGGTAAGCTCTTTGCTTCAAAGCAAACATCTTCAGTGTTCCAACATCTCCAGTTGATGGACATGAGGGCTCCCAGCAACAAGACATCTCCATCTCCCCCAACACCTCCAGGTTGACTCATGCCTGAGTCACTAATAACAAGATAACATTACCTGGCTTGGTACAAAGCATAGATGGCCACATCTCTGCTCATGTAGAGGAGTACACACACACACACACACACACACACACACACACACACACACGTACACACACACACACGTACATTCCTACACTCAGCACCCTGAAATGTGCCTCCTCCCAAGCTTTTCCAACCTACCCTAGTCTGTATTACTCTCTCCCCTGGTATGCTTTTCTGCCATTGCTGTTTGTCAGAATTACACCAAGTCTGCAAAATCCAGCTAAGACACTATTTTCTACAAAGCCTCTCCTTAGCCTACCTCAGAAGTGAGTCGTTCCCCTTTGTTGTGGAGCGTTTCTGCCAGGCCTGTGTCACACGTTTCTGCCAGGCCTGTGTCACACACTGCCTCTCACTGTCAGTCAGCATCTCTGCCACCACTATACTCATACCTGCCTACTGACCCTTACGGTTTTGTCTTCTTGTGGCGCTGGCGATTGAACCCAGGGCACTGTGAATGTTAGGAAAGTTCTCTACCACCAGGCTGCATCCAGCCACACTTAACCATGTGTTACCACAGCTGCTGTTCATGCAGAAGCCAGTAAAGCAGACAGGACAGACACTTTAATCTCATGCCTGCAGCTCAGTATTTCTTGCATACCGACCGACCGTGCAGCGGGACTTGTCCTGGAGGCTGAAGGTTGAAACATTGCACAGGATGGCTGCTTGTCTCCCTGACACAAGCTAGAGTCATCTGGGAAGAGGAACCTCAATTGAGAAAAAGCCTCCACAGTGTAGCCTGAGTTGGCATCATCTTAGTTAATGATTGATGAGGTAGGGCCCAGCCCACTGTGGGTGATGCAACCCTTAGGCAAGTGGTCCTGGGGTGTATAAGAAAACAGGGTAAGAAGCCACCGGAAACAAGTCAGTGAGCAGTGTTCACTCATGGTCTCTACTTCAGTTCCTGCCTTGAATTCCTGTCCTGACTCACCTCATGATGAGCTGTAAGCTATTGGGTGAAATAAACCCTTTCTTACCAAAGTTACCTGGTCTTTATAGGAAATAGAAACCAAACTAGCACAAACATGAACATGAAGAATGGCCACCTCCTTTGACAAATGAAGAAATTGAGATAATGTCAACACTGATCATCTTTCTTAGTTCCAAGGACATGGCAGGCCTTAGCCACTCTGGGCCTCTGGCTGCTGTCCCCATGCCCACAATGTTATTCTTTCCTTACTCTTCCTTATTCTTTCCTTACTGCAAACCTTACTCATCTTCCAGTTAGATCACAGTACCACCTTTAGAGGGAGGCATCCGCTGTCCATCGCCACTAAATGTAGAGCAGGTCACTTCCTCCTAGAGTACTCCAAGACCCTTCTCTACAGCTCTGCAGTCCTGTAGACTTCTACACAAGTGTATATGTTAAGCACCTCTCCTCCACACTGTGCATTCCGAAAGGACAGGAATGATGATGTCTGTTGATTGACGTATACCCAGAGCCTGGTACCATGCCTAACCCAGAAGGGAAGAGCCACTAATGTTTGCCAACAGGGACGCCAAGTGAGGCTCACATCAGAAAGAAAGGACCTAGACAGTCTCATAACCAAAAGTTCCCAAGTTCCTTGAGGACAAAGGATTATTAGCTTATCCAGGATCTTGGGACCCCATAGAGGAAGGGAACTTCCAAGAAAAGGGCAAGGGTCAAGGGACAGGCTTTGGAGCAGAGCTTAATGTATGTTAACATGTGTTCTGGGACATGTGTCCCATGTTCTGGTGGATACAGCTCTAGCTTTATGTTTAAAGAGGCTGGCCCGATGAATGTTTATATCAGCCATTCACGTGGCTTAGTGGATGCCCAGAGCAAAGGCCAGAACTCAAGAATGTCTGAAGCCACTGTGTGACTGCCACGCCTTCCCACACAGTGTCTGTGACTACCCCTCCCTGCAGCTGGGTCCTGAGAGCCTGCCATTGTTCTTTAGGCACCTTCTAGAACATTAACACTGTTTGCCGTGCATATATGGATGTGTTTGGGTTGGTAGACAGTAGGAGTAAGGGACAGTGGAAGAAAAAAGCAGGATGACCCAGGGGTCTCCTGAGAGGCGGCTCTAATGTGTCAGGCACCCACACTGCACAGGCCTGTGAGAAAGACGAAGCTGTGTGCACAGAAGCTGGGAAGGAGAAGCCCCCTTCATCAGGTGGAGACAAACTCTTCTAGTGTTCTCAGAATGAACCTTCCATTTTGGTAGGGCTTGAAGAGTTTTCCCTTTTGTATTCCTATCTTATTATGTTGACACACTTTGATTATATGCAAAAGCATATGTATATGCTTCTGCTTCTTACTCCAGAGCAGGCAGCCTGTTACTATAGCAATATTGAAAGTATTCTGGGATGTTTTCATCCAGAGAACCCTGACAACTGTGTGTGAGCGGCACTTGGTAGAGACGGGCTCACATTCATTACTGTTCATCTTGTTTCCTCCGTGTGCCTCGTTAAACTCACAGCCTTTAACGGCATTCTTACACGCAGCCTCTCTTAATTTTATAGGAGAAAATAATTTGGGGGAAGGGGTTATGGAGCATCCTTGCCTTGCCAGTGTTGAAAATAGCTCTGAAATCACTTAATGTTCTTGTGGGTATCGTAAAGATAAGTACTTCTTGGGATCTTCTAGATTCAGTCATGGCCTCCTCTGTGTATCTGCAGGGCCTGGACTCCTTCCGAGTGAAGCAGAAATTCTTCTCCAGCAGCTGCGGGCCAACAGCCTCCTTTCCTGTGCCCTATGACCTTCCCCCAGAGCTCTACGGGAATAAAGGTGAGACACAGATGAAGGGACAGGGACCATACTGGTTGTAAGCCACCTGGGATGTGCCCCTGGTGTCCATGTGAGCCTGGCTCCTGGGAGCCATCAGACGTTCAGACTTGCAGAGGGCTCTTAGTCTCCTCTCTGGGGCCACGTTGTTCTCAAGCCGCTCATTCTTAGAACCCATTCCCACTCAGTGCTATAACAGAAGCAAACCTGGAAAACGTTTAAATATGTGTTAATCTGTTGAAATAATAAACCACTGTATTATGTCTTGTGGCCAGTCCCAAAACTAAAGGACAAAATTAGTGAGGGAGGTGCTGTCACTTCATGTTTTCAAAAGCGTCTCTATTGTGCAGCTTAGAAGCTGATTATTGAACCCTCTCAGCTGCTGTCACTCAGTCTGGTGGGATGTCACCTCTACACACTCGTGTAAAAGTGAGGGTAACATGATGGCATTATGTCACTAGGAAATGAAGTTGATTCACAGACACACCCCAAGAGAGGTCACCAGGCCACACTCTGAAACCTGCTGCACCGGACTCTGACTTTCCTAGAGGCCGTGACCAAGTATACTTCCCAACAGGAAAGCCATGGGACTGTCCACAGCAGTGGCTCTCATCCTGTGGGTCCTGACCCATATCAGATATCCTGCATATCAGATGTTTGCACTACGATTCATAACAGTAGCAGAATTACAGTTGTGAAGTAGCAACGAACTATGGTTGGAATCACCACAACATGAGGGACTAAAAGGGCCGCAGTATTAGGAAGGTTGAGAACCACTGGTCTACACGGTGGGCCAGCCTCCTCCAGGCCAGGCATCATCCCCGGGTGACCGTCGTCATAGGCTGCTGGGCAGCTTTTATTGCCCCAAGAATGTCCATCTCTGTTGTGGGTTCAGGGTGGTAGAAATGTACAATCAGGAAACACTTCTGATTTCAAATGTCAAGCGCTTACTACAAGTCATAACAGACATTCTCTAGAAAATAGGTATCTCTGTGAGTGGCCAAGTTAGAATGTGCAAACGTGCTAAGTCTGAACAGAGAGTACTTTTTTAATGACATCACTCCATTAATAGTCCACAGTGTTCGATTCCTCAATGGAGTCGGTGCTGCCTGACTTCCCACAGTGGAGCTAACTGAATCTGGCAAACTTCCTGCCCTCAACCTCCCTTTGGGACTCTTTTGGTGAACCAAAACACCCCATCTGGTGGACCCATTTCTCAAGATTGTGTTGATATGTAGGGACAAAGACTTGTGTGCTGCTGTCATCATGCCGTCCTGCAGCCTGCAGGTGACATCACCTCTCTCTAGCTGTCTAGGAACACGCTTTCCGTATGCGCTTTCAGAGTCCGTATGCCTTACACATCCATTCTAGCAGCAAGGTTGCATGGATCTTACCAGGACTCCACAGAACATAGCCACCTTAGCCTCCACCATTCAAAATAACTTCTTGTGTGCCATCTGTCCAGCTTACTGCATGACCTTGGGCAGTTGATATTTAGGCCTGTGTGTCTGAAGGAAAAATGGGGAATGCCAGCGCCTCCTACGGGGCTCCTGAGAAGACTAACTGAGATGAAGTTCATCAAGTGCTTAGCAGTCCAGTAACGCTGGCTGGGTTTATCATAGCTGTCCTTATTACAAGGTTTAGTGCAGTCCCATGCACACTGGACAGTGAATTAGTGTGATCCCACCCACTGTCCTTACTGAACAGTGACCTTTGAGTCTATAGCTTTCATGGGTAAGTCCCTTTTGCCTCTGGCTTTGTGCTATATTTCTGTCTTTCCTGTCTTTCTCTGTTCTTCAGATTCATTCTCTTTTAAGTCAGGTTCTAGAGAAGAATGACTTGGCATGGTTGCTTTGGGTCTTGCCTCCTGGGATCTGACTCTGCTCCTTACCTTCCCTAGCCATGCCCTATTGAGTAGTCCTTGTCTCCAGAGGAGTAGGCATACAAGAATGGGAGAGATTACAGAGCCAGAAAATGTCCTCAAGTCCCTTTCCTTCTTGTAGTAGAAACAACTCCTAACAACTCAGAAGTTTACCGGTGGTAGGCGATGTCCTAGACTACAGAAAGCTAGGTCTCTTTTATTTGACCAGCAAGCAGAATGCTTTATACAGTGCTTTATTGAACTTTTTGTGTCTTAGGCTTTTTCTCTGAAAGATACATATAAAAGAAATTGGAACAGTGTGTTTTATCAGTATTATTTTATCTTCTCCATTCCTTCAGCAGGGTGTAGAATAATGCCGGTAATTCATATATTACCTTCCAAATACAACCAATGTTCTGTAAAGCTCTGTGGCCCATACAGAGGTGTTTTACTAAGGCAAAGGAAAATGAGTTGTTAAGACCATTTCAAAAGCACTTCGTGCTTAAAAGTGATTTTTGAACCATAGTAACACGTACAATGTCTTACTCCATTTTTTTTTTTTAATCAGAGGTTCACATAAAAAGCTTAATGCAGGAGTATCCCACTGTGAAAGCTCAGCCAGATGTTATCTTGGAACAAAGAAAATGATCAGAGAGAGTGATGAAAATTAACACTCAGGTCCTAGGGTGCCTTGCTTTCGGTGGTAGTCTGCGGTTCTCTACAATTACGTAATATTGAGGGCCCAGTGTGTACAAGCACAGTGCTTGAACTCTGGGTGAGACGGACGAGTGTGAGTCCTCACCCTCATCGAGTGTAGGTCATTCTCTTAAAAAGTGTGTTTAGACAAATCCATTTGACTAATAGGAATGGTGTTTGTAAAATTATTCCCTCCTTCCCATGCTAGCGTGGGTTAGAACCCAGGGCCAGGATGTGTGGGGCAGGCACCCTTCTACTGAGCCATTGAGGTTTTTAAGTCTTCATCCAAGTGTGTATTTTATGTTGAACTTATTCTCCTGTTCCTTCCCCCTTCCCACCCCTCCCAACTCCCATTAAGTCCCTTTTGAGTCCCTAGACTGCTTCGTCTCTCCCTGCATGTGTACATAAGTGGTTTTGTGTGAGTACGTAAAAACCTAGGAGCCAAATGAAAGAGCATATTTGTCTTTCTGAGACTGACTTGATTCTCTTGACATAATTCCCTTTTCCTGCAGTCAGCATAACCTCATTCTTGTTTGAGGCTGGACTGTTTTATAGAAATGTAACATTCTCTGTACCCATTCCTCTGAGGTTACACACCAGGTTGGTCCCGTAACTGAGCTGCTGTGAATAGTGCCGCCGTGTCATGGTGTACAAGTGTCTCTGTGATGTGTTTTGGAATCCTTTGGGAAAATCACCCAGGAGTCGTGTAGCTGGGTCACATGGTAGATCTGTTTTTCAGTTTTTTGAGACACTTCCGTATAGTCCATAATACCTGAGCTAGTTTACATTCCCACCAGCAGTGTAGAATAACAAGGGCTGGCAAGGATGTGTGTAAAAGGGAATCCACAGTCTCTTAGGGAACAAAATCATCAGCCCCTTGAGACACGGTAATTCCATTTGTGCAGTTGATGACTTTGGGTTTGAAGAGAATGCAGAACAGCTCGCCACACCGTCTCTGCTATGCACTCCCTTATTTGAAAAAGCAGACATTCTTTGTATCCAATGTTAAAAAGCACAGTGTGGGAGGGTTAGAGAAAAGCCTGTCTCACTTGGACCTAACAAATGTCGAAAGCGAGAGATGTGGCTCGAAGTTAGAGTATATATACAAGACCCTGGGGCTGGATCCTCAGCACTGGAAAGAACAAAGAAAAGAAGAAAGAGAAGCAAACTTGGTGGGAAGAGGAAACACATAGTGCATTCAAGAAGTAGACAAGCATGAGGGGCTTCAAAACCACTCAGTGTATTGTGATAGTAGCTTTCTGTGAGAATTTCATATATGAACGCACTGTATTCACACCATTCCCATCCCTCCGACTCTTCCCATGCCCCAGCCCCTCTAAATCCATGATCTCTTCTGTAGTTACTAGTTTTACACACACACACACACACACACACACACACACACACGTACACACACACTACTCAGTCTAGTTAGTGTTAGTCTTGATGTATCTAATGTTTAAGGATAACCACTTAGGATTAAGAAACCTGTCAGGAACTCATCCCTAAAGAAAACTGACCCTCCCTCCCTCCTTCCCTCCCCTCTCTCACAGCCATCGCCTGTATTGTTTTGGAGGCCTCCGGACCTCCTGACAGCAGCTCAGTGGATGGTGCCTCTTGCCTGGCACTGGGGTTTTTGTTAGCTAGCCTGTGAGTCCTGGAGGGAACTTTATCACCCTGTGTCGGGTAACTCCAATTAAACTGTGTGTGCATGTGTGCGTGTGTGTGTGTGTGAGTGTATGTGTGTGTATGTGAGAGTGTGTGTGTGTGAGAGTGTGTGTGTGAGAGAGTGTGTGTGTGAGAGAGTGTGTGTGAGTGTATGTGTGTGTATGTGAGAGTGTGTGTGTGTGAGAGTGTGTGTGTGCATGCGTGTGTGTGTATGTGAGAGTGTGTGTGTATGTATGTGAGAGTGTGTGTGTGTGAGAGAGTGTGTGTGAGTGTGTGTGTATGTGAGAGTGTGTGCATGCGTGTGTGTGAGTGTATGTGTGTGTGTGTGAGAGTGTGTGAGTGTGTGTGAGAGAGTGTGTGTGAGTGTATTGTGTGAGTGTGTGTGTGAGAGTGTGTGTGTGTGTGTGAGTGTATGTGTGTGTATGTGAGAGTGTGTGTGTGAGAGTGTGTGTGAGTGTGTGTGTATGTGAGAGTGTGTGCATGCATGTGTGTGAGTGTATGTGTGTGTATGTGAAAGTGTGTGAGTGTGTGTGAGAGAGTGTGTGTGAGTGTATTGTGTGAGTGTGTGTGTGAGAGTGTGTGTGTGTGAGAGTGTGTGTGTGCATGCGTGTGTGTGTATGTGAGAGTGTGTGTGTATGTATGTGAGAGTGTGTGTGTGTGAGAGAGTGTGTGTGAGTGTGTGTGTATGTGAGAGTGTGTGCATGCGTGTGTGTGAGTGTATGTGTGTGTATGTGAAAGTGTGTGAGTGTGTGTGAGAGAGTGTGTGTGAGTGTATTGT